GTTTGCATGTTTACTACTCGGCAGTTGTGCTTATTATCTTTACCTCGGTCTGTGTGCGCTCGCGTGACTTGGGACAAAGCGGCCTTTGTGTAGCGAGACCCCTGATATGCTGCGGGGATAAACTTTCCAGTGTCGGGACCACTCTCTCTCCCTCTCATATTCCAACACCGGCTATCCGACCCTGCCTTACTTGTACTTGATACGGCTGTGGTCATGCCTAGTCTAGCTGGACTCAACGATATCATGAAGGGCACCTCTCCGAACGCGTCGATTAGCGGCAGCGGATCTGGAAAGCTTCACATATTCCCTTTTCGAGTGACCAAAACCGAAGGTCCAAGAACCGCTTCCATGTCTTGGTGAACGGTGTCGACCCCGTCAACGTAGGCGTGATGAGATCGGGCTCAGTAGTTGCTGCGGTATGAATTTTTACCCCACCACTTTTCGTGCGCGCCGGCTTATGTCCTTAGGGAAGATCTGGCTGAAGAGGCTGTACTTCAGCCTGAGTCACTTACTGTTTCAGCCTTTGTAGTCTTTTTCGACAGTTTTCTAGTGAATCTGATACGCACTCCCTTGATTTGATCGGCCAACACTGAGGGCCGCGACAGTTTGCTCACAGACGCCGATCAGATAACGGTCTAACACGAAACCTTTGGTTTTGACCACTGCACACCAATAGAAATTGGCTGCAATTCCTGCCACCACAGTAAGCATGGTCAATTGTGCGTTTTTATCTTCCAGCATGGCGGAAGGAGTGGCAGTTCTCAGTGTTCCGCCCAACCTAAATGATCCGGAAGAGAAGCAGTCCTGGCGCACTGCCTCCGAGGCCGCGGAGAAATTCAGCTCCCTTTTCTATCGCAGTCTGGACAAACCGGGACGTTCTGATCTGCCTGGCTTTTACACAGAGAATGCCATTCTCCTGTGGAATGGCAACCGCGTGGAATCACGCCAGGAGGTGGTCGCCTACTGGACAAAATTGCCGCGCAGTCAGACCACTCTGCATACCCTATCCGCGCAACCAATACAGAGTAAGTCGCCACTTGCGTACGTAATGCATCCCTTTTTGTTGAGTAGATAAAATGCGACTTTGGCGCCCACTTGATGGTACATAATCTCACATTTATTCGTCCACAACGTGGCATGCTAGCTTTATCTTGAAAGACCTCCCAATCACCTGCATTTACCTAAGGGAAGGTTCGTGAAACAGCTTGGTTGAGGCGTCTTGTCAGGAGTTTATTCGCTGAGTCACCTT